CTAAGTGGGATTCATGTACTCTAGGGATCTTCAAGACTGTCCATTGGCATGCAGGAAGAAAATACTAAAGCTTCTGTTATTAGAAGCTTCTAGTTATTCCATTTATAATTAGAGCCTCTGTTTATTCTATTTTTATTGTTGGGAAGAAATTAAACTTGGGTGAAGTTTAATATCTGGATTCGCTCTTGCCTTCTCACTTGGTCCGTGAGTCAGGCAGCTGAGTGAAGAGTGAGAGTTCTACGGCTCAGAGTACTTGAGGTGCCCTCATTTGCTGTTGGTTAGTTTTTGCCATGCTGTGAGGCCCAGAAGATGGTGTTATGATTCTAATGATCTAGTTCTAACTAATGTTCATAAAACAGATAAGTGACATAAAACATTCTTACAAAAGATAATCCCAGTAATGCAAGCATTCAAAAAGGAAGAAAATGGCAGAATCAGGACTCCTGCTCGTAGTACACACTCTTCAGTGAAAAAGTAAAAAAAAAAAGACAGTAAAAGAAGCAATTGCTACGAAGTGAACATTTCAAAAAACAGATGGTGTGAAAATTGACTGTGGTGATGGTTGAATAACTCCGTGAATTTACCAAACACCATTGAATTGTATACTTTAAATGGGTGAATTATATGGTATGTGAATTGTATCTCAGTAAAACTCTTAAAAAACAGATTCTGTTTTTTGTGTCACCTACGGGAACTCTCATACTGGCTCCCTTAAACTGGGAAATAGAAATTTCTGGCCTGTTAATCTAACAAATAAAATGGCAGTAGTTTTGAACCCAATTGTTAAACATGTTAAAATGCAACCTCTTCTGATTTAAGGTGTAGGAACAAGTGATTCTCATTAGGGAAGGTGACGAAACATTTAAAAACTTCTGCATAATTAATGTATAAGATTGAACAGTGTTGTTGTGTTGTTATTAGGTGCTGTGGAATTGATTTTGACGCATAGCATTCCCATGTGACAGAGTAGAACTGCCCCATAGGATTTTCTAGGCTGTACTCCTTATGGAGGAGCCCTGGTGGCATACTAGTTAAGTGCTTGACTGATAACCAAAAATGGGAGGTTTGAACCTACTTCAGGAGGAAAATGTGGCAGTCTGCTCTCGTAAAGATTACAGCCTTGGAAACCCTGTGGGGCAGTTCTGTTCTGTCCTATAGGGTCACTGTGAGTTGGAATCGACTTGACGGCAATGAGTTTTAATTTTTATGGGAGCAGATTGCCAGGTCTTTCTGACTGACCTGAAATTACGGCACCTGAAGAAAACATAACCTGACCCTCAAATTGCTTAAAAAGGCGTTGAACCAAGACTTTGTAAGTTTAACACTTTGCAAGGCGTTTCTGAGGAAGTATATTCAAAAAGCTTTGCTCTTACTAAAAATATTAATTATATCTAAAGTGAGGGCAGGAAGTTTTTTTAACATTAATGTATATAGTTTTAAACTACTAATTTATAAAGAATATTATCTATAT